AAAATGAAACAAATGTTTAAATGTTCAGAGGGGGGAAAAAATGTGAAAATAAATACATCCACTTATGGATAGCTGACCAAAAGGGATGTCAGAAGAGACTCTGAAAATTGCACTAAAACATACAAAAGTCAAAACAAAGGGAAGAATTTCTGAAGTAAAATAGATGAGTAGAAGATTTCAAAGGGCAGCTTTCAGAAGGCAAAACAAAGTAGGATAAAAGAAAAAGCAAAGAGTTGAAGCTAGAAAATAAATGAGGAAGAACTCATCAAGCACTAGTTAAGCTGAAATAACTGAAAACCATATTCCACTTAGAGTTGAAACATTGAAGATACCATGGGCAAAAATCTTAAATAATCCAAGAACCATTGAAAAAGATGGAGAAAATATAAAGTCATTGTACCAAGAAGCATTTACTGACATGGAAACATTTTAAGAAGTAGCATATGATCAAGAGCCAAAGATAACGAAGGGAAAATTTCAAGCTGTGCTGAAGGCATTGGCAAAAAATAAGGCCCAGCAATCAATGGGACACCAATTGGCATGTTTCAATTAGCATATGCAGCCTTCGACATGCTCATAAGACTATGCCAGGAAATTTGGAAGACAGTTACCTAGCTTACTGATTGGAAGTGATCCATATTTGTTCCCAACCCCAAAGAAGGTAACCTAACAGAAGATAGGAATTATTGAACAGTATCATTAATATTACATGCAAGCAAAATATTGTTGAATATTATCCAAACCCAGCTAGACTAATGCAAAACAGCTAGAAGTTCAAGCTGGGAATAGAAGAGGTCATGGCAACAGGGATATCATTGCTAATGTCAGATGGATGTTGGTGGAAAATGAAGAATAAAAGAAGAATGCCTATTTGTGGTTTTATTGATGATGAAAAGACATTTAATTTATTTGGATCATAATGAACACTGAGATGAATGGAAATTCCAGACCACTTAATTATGCTCATGGGTAACCTACACATAGACCAAGAAGCTGGTGTCTGAACAGAGCAAGGGAATACTGCATGGTTAAAAATCAAGAACAAGTGCTTCAGGGATGTATCCTTTCTCCAGTCTGTATGCAGTACAGTCTCATCTGTACTTAAGGCTATTGTTTCAGTCATTGTGTTATTTCATATCCTTGAGGGTCTTCCAATTTTCATTTATACTCTATTTCTCCAAGCATGATTTCTTTTTTAAAGACTGATTGTTCCTAAAAACTACCTGAAAGGAATATATGATTAGGCATTAAAATATTACATCAATCTGTAATAAGAGGTACATTGCAAAGTGGATTGGAGGAGGGAGGAAAATGTGCATCAATGAATGAATAAAGAAAAAAATAAGATGCTAACAATATGAGAGAAGAAGTGCTTGTAAGGAGCCTTCTGGCTATATCTCTTCCAAAACAACTTTGTTCTGGCCATTCACGGTTTAGTCAATACTTTTCACCAATACTGCAATTCAAAGGCCAAGTTCCTCAGTCTTTACTATTCATTATTAAAAACATCCCCATAATCGGGTGGGGGTGGGGGGAGGGGTTTGTGCGGGGAGAAGGGTGCAACAATGAATGAATGGAATTCCAAAATCTCTGTAGATGTTCACTGAAATGAAAAATAAACAAA